TCCTCTTCCACCTTCATCAAGAGGCTCTTTTGAGGCTCTTCAGTTCCTCTTTGCTTTCTGCTGTAAGGGTGGTGTCATCTGCCTATCTGAGATTATTGATGTTTCACCAGGCAATCTTGATTCCAGCTTATGCTCCAGCCAGCCTGGCATTTTGCATGATGTATTCCGCATATGAGTTAAATAAGCAGGGTGACAATATACAGCCTTGACGTACTCCCTTCCCAATTTGGAAATAGTCCATTGTTTCATGTCCAGTTCTAACTGTTGCTTCTTGACCTGCATACAGATTTCTCAAGAGGCAGGTCAAGTGGTCTGGTATTCCCATCTCTTGAAAAATTTTCCACAATTTGTTTTGATCGACACAGTCAGAGGCTTTAGTGTAGTCAATAAATCAGAAGTTGATGTTTTCCTGGAACTCTCTTGCTTTTTCTATGTTCCAGTGGATGTTGGCAATTTCCTCTGGTTCCTCTGTCTTTTCTAAATCAGCTTGAATACCTGGAGGTTCTCAGTTCATGTACTGTTGAATCCTGGCTTGGAGAATTTTGAGCATTACTTTGCTATCATGTGAGATGAGTGCAACTGTGTGGTAGTTTGAACATTCTTTGGCATTGCCTTTCTTTGGGATTGGAATGAAAACTGACCTTTTCCAGTCCTGTGGCCACTGCTGAGTTTTCCAAATTTGCTGGCATATTGAGTGCAGCACTTGAAATAGCTCAACTGGAATTCCATCGCCTCCACTAGCTTTGTTCATAGTGATGCTTCCTAAGGCCCACTTGACTTTGCATTCCAGGATGTCTGTCTCTAGGTGAGTGATCACACCATTGTGGTTATCTGGGTCATGAAGATCCTCTTTGTATAGTTCTTCTGTGCATTCTTGCCACCTCTTCTTAATATCTTCTGCTTCTGTTAGGTACGTACCATTTTTGTCCTTTATTGTGCCCATCTTTGCATGAAATGTTAACTCTCGTTAATCTGTAGGACAGGTGTTTGGAGCCTGAGCAGTACGACCACATCCTGAGGGTAGAGGACCTACGATCTGGTTCTACTCTGCAACACAGGGCTGGACCCAGCCTGGGCTCCTAAATCTCTTGACCCCAGTTTCTTTATTCCCCAAATGGGCAAAACCTATGCTGATGACTACCCACAGTTACATCAGTCCTAGGGAACTAATAGAGGTAATAATAACATGATAGAGTCATTCACTGGAGGAATGAGGTATTATAAAAATCTGAAGAATCTAGAACACTTGAAATTATTATAGATTTAATGGGCATTGTGGACTTTGCAGAGGAAATCTCTTGTAGTTGGATGGAACATGGGTGGCTTCTTATGACTTCATGATGTTGGCCAAGTCATTTATTTCTGAGCTCCAGTAAAATGATCTTATCTATAAAGTGAGAATGATGAAACCTACTCCCTAGAGTTATGACCTGTGGACTACTGTACACACAGTGAGCTTGTACACAGTGTATACTCACATCACAGTAATTCCCTTCCTTTTCCCTCCTCTGTCCTTCTTATTAACTGATATATCTCTTGAAGAGAGGTGGATTAATTAATTAATGAATTAGAGAATCTGATGAAGCATGGGACTGTGGATCCTATTTATAGATCATTAATTTGTTGGCCTTTGGGAAATTCTTTAATACTTTTTTGTCAAATCATTTGTCTTTCCTCAATTTTAAAATGTAGCCTTCTCTTCCCAGTATAATTTGTTAGACATGTTTAGTTTGTGTTTTGACATGATCTGAAGAAACAATGGGATTTATCACAACATTTGGATGTACACCACAGCATTTCTTGCCCAGCAGCTCTAAGATAATTTAAATATTTGTTATGCTTTGATTATTAATTATGTATCTTTATTATCATAAATAACTTGAGTCCATTTCCAATAAATGCCAGTAGAGAATATAATAAAAATGATGCAAAGAAATAAGTAGAAGAAAAGTGGCAAGAATGCACCAAGAATTGGTGATCCTGTATTGTATTTAATATTGAATATTATATTTCAGTACAGTAATGATGTATGGATGTGAGAGTTGGACCATAAAGAAGGCTGAGTCCTAAAGAACTGATGCCTTCAACTTGTGGTGCTGGAGAAGAGTCTTGAGAATCCCTTGGAGTGCAAGGAGATCCAACCAGTCCATCCTAAAGGAAATCAACCCTAAATATTCATTGAAAGGACTGATGCTGAAGCTCCAATACTTTGGCCACCTGATGCAAAGAACTGCCTCATTGGAAAAGATCCTGATGCTGGGAAAGATGGAAGGCAGGAGGAGAAGGGGGACAACAGAGGATGAGATGGTTGGATGGCATCACTGACTCAACGGACATGCGTTTGAGCAAACTCTAGGAGATGGTGAAGGTCAGGGAAGCCTGGCATGCTGCAGTCCATGGCATTTCGAAGAGTAGGCAACGACTGAGGCGACAGCATACAAGCATGCACTTAGCTTCTAAGATGGAAACCCACAGGCATCAGAGCACAACGTGTAAACTGTTTCGGTTTGATTTCATCCAGTCCAGTTTAATTGCACACTGTTGGATTTCAATCAGTTTAGCTGACCTCAGCTCCCCTCCACGTGAAGGAGGACTAGCCGGGCTGTAGGAGAGAGAGCTGAGGTGAGCGAGCCTGGCTCTTGTCCTTGGGGCACAGCCTTCTCCTAGAACAGGGGCACACACAACACCTGCATGGAGAAGAGAATGGAAGCAGGGCTTTCCAGGGGCTCAGAGCAGCAGCGACTCTGTGGGAGTGTTCTTCTTAAGTTTACAGAGACGGGGTGCCCTTCTGTGGGATGATCCCTGCTCTCTTATTTATGATTGTGGAATTTTCAATTATACTATACTTCAAAAAATATTTTTCCTGAGGGTTAACGTTTACATTTACAAATGTGTACAGCCTAACTAACAGTTTAAATGGAAATTTTAATGTATTCTATGAACCATTGGTTTGTTTGCATATTTTATCAAGTCACCATCATCTTGGGTTGTATACAGTGTGATAGTTAGAAATAGAATTAGAAAGGACTGTGCATTTTGAGATGTTCATTTCAGGAGGCAAAATGCTAGTTGTTTAACTGCTGCCTTATCAATAGTATGTTGTGCCAAGTGAGTGATTAGGGGGTGAGAGATTTCTAGAGACTTTAAATAAATATACACATTTAATAAAAGAATGGACGAGGTCCAGGATTAGCCGACACCACAGAGAACATGCAGGTGTGGGGCCAGGGCAGCTGTGGTCTGTCTCCTCTCTGCTCAGCTTCCTTGCTCTTCTCATCAGCATCAATTCTTCTTGGGTCTTAGCCCAGGTTCAGAACTGCAGGCGTGATAAGCCAACAGCTGTGCAGCGTGGAGCTAACTGAGAACATGAATCATGGTTGGGTGAGTGCTTCGTCCAGGTAGTTGGTTTCACTTCTGGTGAACGTGTGCTTAGGCCTGTCTGTGCACAGGAGATGACCCACTTGGAGGAGTATCTCCAAGATACTGCACGTAAGAACTGAATCTCACAGGAGCCTTCCCCTCCTGCCTGTTCCGAGTCATTATTCTCCTCTTTGTGGACGGACTGGCCAGTGCATGTGCGATCCACACATCAGCAGTGAATGTGTAGTGTGTTGTCTGAGCAGCATGACGTGGAGAGGAAGTTGGGTTCTCTCTGCTGGCTGCATGTGGGTGCAGACGCTTTCTGACCCTGGTGCTCCAAGCCCAGTGTCTTGGGATGCTCTCTTGCCCCTCCTTTAGTTCTTCAACCAGCTTCCAGAAAACCCCGGCTGCTGCTTTCTATCCAGGCAGCCTTGCTTCAGTTTGACAACAGCTGGTCTAACTGGTTGCTTTGTTTATGGCTGCATCTCATGAGCCTAGAACTGTGTCTGGAACACGGAAGATGCTCAGTGTATCAGCCATGCAGTCTGGATCTTGCTGCATAACAAACACCCCTACTCCAACTCCCAGAGGTATATTTCTTGCTCAAGCTTATGTCCCAACCTAGTGGGTGGTGGCTCTGGGGCATTCCCAGCTGTGAGACCAAGGGGAAGGGGAAACGGTGAATCTGGTCTTCATTTTCAAACGTATCTGTCTGGAGGGAGCACAGCTACCTCTGTTCATAGTTCAGTGGCCACAGGGAGTCAGGTGACCTTGTCTAGCTTCAGAGAGGAAGGAAGCGCCATCCTACTTTTGCAGAAAGGGGAGGGTTGGATGTATACCTAGCAGCGTAGGTTTATAACACACTAGACCTGGAAGTCAAGTTGGATAGACAGTGGAATAAATATTTGTCGATGATTTTGCTGATACTTATTATGCTGTGAAAGACTGCAGTCAAAAGGAGAAGAGGGCAGCAGAGGATGAGATAGTTAGATAGTGTTACCGACTCAATGCGTATGAATCTGAACAAATTCCAGTAGAGAGTGGGGGACAGGGGGGCCTGGTGTGTTGCAGTCCATGGGGTCACAGAGAGTTCGACACAATTTAGCGTCTGAACAACAATGCTGATGCCTGTTTCTGCTTCAAGGGAAGACAGTGACATCTCATTTGGTGAAACTCTCTCCATGTAAAGTATAAGCCCCCAAAGACCTAGAAGTCTTAAAAAAAATAAACCATGAGGCTTTTCTAGTGCAGTTTCACTTCAGTAACAGGAGTGAGTGACTTGCCCAAAACCTCAGGCCTTTTGTCCCGGCTGATGCTCAGATGGGGGTTGTTGTTTGTCACTTTCTTCTGCTTCCCTGGGAAAGCAGAGAGGGGGACTGACTCAGACTGTCTTGTTTATGAGCCTCCTTTAGGGAAGCCACAAGCTGTGGGTACCCACCAGGGCACCCCCATCCTGGGGTTGCCCAGGCCAGCCTCTTCAGAGCGAGTGGAAGTAGATAATTCACGTAAAGTGCTTTGTTCAGCCCGGGAATAGCTCGTGTGTGAAAGCACTGGTTATTGGTCTCACTGGACCCGCTGTCAGCGCTGGGATGCATTCTGCTGTGAGGCTTCCAGCCTGGGGGAGCAGCCAGGGCTGAGCGATGCTAATCTCCAGTGTGGCACTGAGTCATCTGACAGGTCGTGCATCACCTTCTTTCCTGTTTGAGTTCTGGCAGCCCGTGGTTTATGGCAACGATGCCCTGGGGCAGGACCCGAGAGGGCTCAGTGGAGCACGAGAGGGTGAGGTGGCGGGAGACAGCTCGGGGCCCAGGGCACCTGAGAGGTGGGGGGCCAGGGAGGGCGGGAGGGAGGCCTGGAGAGGTCTTGGTTCCAAAGACATCGAGTGGCTTGTGGGCTCCGGGTCACATGAGGCCGGCAGAGCCCAGGAGGAGAGAGACCCAGAGGGAGGGACAGCGTCCAGACAGTTCTCACCCCAAGGTGTGGGTGGCAGGCATTTTCCTTCCCAAGGAGCGAAAGCTGGCCTAGAGGATGTTTCTGCCACACCTCCCCAGTACATTCGGCGGGTGGGGCTGGGCCTCCCGGGACGTGCGCTGTCCTGCCGGCGGCACACAACCTGGACAGGAGGCATCCTTACCTCCCTCAGTTTGGGCTGATCTCCCCAAATAAAGACGAAGATGCTCCTGGAAGAGAAATGATACCGTTACGGAGGAAATCACACAATACTGGATGTAAAATAGATAATCAACGAGGACCTGTTGCACAGCACCGGGAACTCTACTCAACACTCTGTGATAACCTACTTGGGAAAAGAATCTGAAAAAGAATAGATACATGTATGTGCACGCCCAGTCTCTTCGGCTATGTGCGACTCTTGGTGACCATGGACTGTAGCTCACCAGGCTCCTCTGTCCATGGGATTTCCCAGGCAAGAATACTGGAGTGGGTTGCCATGCCCTCCTCCAGGGGATCTTCCCAACCCAGGGATGGAACCTATGTCGAGGTGTGTCTCATGCATTGCAGGTAGAATCTTTACCTCCGAGCCACCAGGGAAGCCTAGTGTATCATGTATGTGTATCACCGAATAACTTTGCTATATGCCTGAAACTAACACAAGACTAAATCAACTCTACTCCGATATAAAATAAAAATTAAATTAAGAAAGAGGAAACTCCAGCTTCCAGACAGCTTGGGGTGGGCCTCCCGGGGGCGGGGACGGAGGCAGCGTCACCACAGGAGCAGCAGCAGGGTGCTAGCGAGCAGCCGTGGGTCCAGGAGGCAGGGTCAGTGCACTCTTCCTTCTGTGTCTCTGTTGTTTGAGTTTAATCATCATCATGGTAGCAGTGAAGATGCCAAGAGAATAACAAGCAGTTGAACAAACTGTTTGTCCCCTGTGTTTTTTCTTGTCTCCATGGCGATGAGGTTGGGGATGGGGAGGCTTGGAAAGGCCACCTGAGTGACCTGCAGGTACATACCTGGTACATTTCCTGATTTTACCGATATGCTGCTTCTGTCTTCTATTTCGGCCTCTTTGAAGCAGTGCCTTACCGTGTTGAGTGGAGTCTTTACTGTTGAGAAGGATTCCTGAATTGCTAAAGATTAAACTTCATGTAGTTAATACTTGTGGAGTCATGATACCATGTCTTTTCTATTAGCCTTTTCTGATTTTTAGAAGCATTTGCTAATGGTAAAGAACCTGCCTGCCACTGCAGGAGATGTAAGAGACCTGGGTCTGATCCCTGCATTGGGAAGATCCCCTGGAGAAGAAAATGGCAACCCAATCCAGTTGTCTGGGAAATCCCATGGACAGAGGAGCCTGCCAGGCTACAGACTAAAAGAATTGGACATAATTGAAGTGACTTAGCACTCATGCACCCCCATGTAAATTATATTTATTCAATCTTCATTTTGAAGAAAAACACAATTTATGAAAACAGAGAAATTTCGTTAAATCAAAAGTAACCAATGTCATGGCTTTATTTAATTTATTTTTTCTTGGCAGGCATATATAGATATTTCTTGCTTTAATCCCTTGAGCTTTTGTGAACATTTCTTAAATCCATCACTCAATCTGTTTTCTGAGCAAAGCAAAAGTACCACAATTCAGACATGAAAACGCCTTTTTTTTCCAAATAAAGCTAATGCAATGTAGCAGGTACTCCCTGGCAAAAATATGGCTCTTACTTACTTAGTCACAGTGAATAGATTTCTGCTGGAGCCGGGCTGATCTCCACAAGGTATGAAAGCTCTTTATATAAGTACATCCTGACCAATAAGTAGCCTAATATATCTTAGAACCATTGGGAAGAGACAAATCGAAAGAAATAGGGAAAAAAAATGACAAAATGTTATGGAACAGTCTGTGCATTTCCTTTCTCTCTGTCTTAAATCTAGCAGCATGTTCTTGATCTAAAAGAAATATCACCTTTCAAGTTTCCATGTTGTCAAATTATTTAAAACTCCACCACTGGGAATGCAGAATGGTATGTAGGGTGGGGGTAGGTTTTTCCATTCCAGTGCAGTGATATGAGCTCGTGTGTAGATCACCGGGACAATGTAAGGATCATCTTTCGGACTTGTACAGACATGAGAGTCGGACCATAAGGAAGGCTGAGTGCTGAAGACTTGGTGCTTTAAAATTGTGGTGCTGGAGAAGACCCTTGAGAGTTCTTTGGACTGCAAGGAGATCAAACCAATCAATCCTAAAGGAAATCAGTCCTGAATATTCACTGGAAGGACTGAATTTGAGGCTGAAGCTATAATACTTTGGCCACCTGACATGAAGAGCTAACTCATTAGAAAAGACCCTGATGCTGGGAAAGATTGAGAGCAAGAGGAGAAGGGGACGACAGAGGATGAGATGATTGGATGGCATCACCGACTCAGGGGACATGAATTTGAGCAAACTCAGGGAGATAGCAGAGGACAGAGGAGCCTGTGCTGCAGTCCATGGGGTCGCAGAGTCGGACATGACTTAGCAATTGAACAAAAGCAGTAGATATGCAAAAGAGGGGGCTTCCCTCATGGCTCAGTCGGTAAAGAATCTGCCTGCAATGCAGGAGACCTGGGTTTGATTCCTGGGTCGGGAAGATCCCCTGGAGAAGGAAATGGCCACCCACTCCAGCATTCTTGCCTGGAGAATCCCGTGGACAGAGGAGCCTGGCGGGCTATAGTCCATGGGATCACAAGAGTCAGACACGACTTCATGACTAAACCACCACCATGCAAAAGAGACAGGCAAACCCACCTTTGTCTGGGTAAATCAGATGTCAACCAGAGGGATAGGATGTGAGTGCTCAAAATATGATGCTGTTCTTCCTTCATGGACATGTTCTCAGGGTAGCCATGGGCAGGTGCAGGCCCAGGAGTGGTGAGCACAGAGCTGGGGGCTGTGATTCTGGACGGAGAAGAGGAGGGGCCCAGACTGGATGCTAAAGACAAGTGCAAATGGCCTGTTCATGACTGGAAACTGTATCGACAGTCACAGAAATAAAGACATTTCTCATCTTTCATAAGAAGTACAGGCATGTCTGCTGGTGTACGGGCCGGAATCAGACAGGCCGGCTCTCCGCACATCTGACCGTCTCTGCTGCCGCCAGCCTTGCTGATGAGAATGGTCACCAGTCCACTGGTCCCGGGGAGACTCCGACCCAGACATGGGGGCCTCGGATCTCCCCTCAGCAGCGGCTGGCCTGGAGGGACAAAGAAAGAGCCGTTCCGGCCAGCTCACTGTGTGACTTCCCCTCATGACCACGCCTGGGAACAAGTTGACGTCACCCTGTGCCTCCTCTGCCATCCGGCACGATGCACTCGGAGCCGCTGTGATGGCAGGAAAGTCAGCACTTGCACAGAGAGCCACTCTCCAGGCTGCAGGCTGTGGCTTCTCCCATCTGTGTCCCGCCTCCTCACCCTCCCAGGTGTGGCCAGGAAGGAGCCACGGCCACCTCTAGAAAATCTGCCAGGTCCCCCTGCCCCGTGTGTGTGACCCCAGCTCATCTTGAATGCACCCTCGAGGGGCTTGTTCAAATTGAACAAGTCTGGTGGGGATTTTTATCTTCCCTCCCAGGTGGTGCTAGTGGTAAAGAACCTGCCTGCCCATGCAGGAATGTCAAGAGATGTGGGTTCAATCCCTGGGTCAGGAAGATCCCCTGGAGAAGGAAATGGCAACCCATTTCAGTAGTCTTGCCTGGGAAATCCCATGGACAGAGGAGCCTGGGGTTGAAAAGAATCAGATACGACTGAGCACACATTCGTTTGCAAATGAGCAAACTGAGGCTCCGAGAAAAATGAGGTGACAGGTCTGGTCAATGGCAGGTCCTGAATCTCGTCCAGAGTGCGGTGTTGTTGGAGGAGCTGGAGCCGTGAGTCTGGCTTTGCATTCTGGCTCATCATTTCACAGCAGCTCTGGGTGAGCCCCACAGCCTCTCGAGCTTTGCTGCATTGTCTGTGGAGCAGGGTGGATGGCACACAACCCGTGGGATGGCAGTGCCCTGTGGTCCAGTCCGCATCAGAAACACAGCTCAGGATGGTAGGAAGGCTTTGCTTGAGAGATGCCAGTTCCCGCCTCCCCTTCACATTCCTCATTCTGGTACTCCACGCATGCAAAGGTGGAGTGGATAAGTCGAACCACTGTTAGAACATTGAACCCACTTGGGGAGACTTCCCTAGTGGTCCAGTGGCTAACACTCAGCACTCCTGATGCAGGGGGCACAGGTTCAATTCCAGGTCAGGGAGCTAGATTTCACATACTGCAACAAAGACCCAGTGCAGCCAAATAAATAAACATGTATTAAGAAAAGAATATTGAATCCACTCTGGGGTTTACCCCACAAATTATTTACCCATGGGGATAATACCTTTTAGAGAGAAAATGATAATTTGAAATTTATTCTGGAAGTGGTCCCAAACCTGGAAGAACCCAGAGGGACCCAGGACAAAAGCGGGTGCTACTCCAGGTTGCCTCACAGCCGATGTCGTCCCTGAGTTGGACGAAACTGCGTGGGGGCTCCTGGAGTCATCTCCCGCCCACACCCGGCCCACCCGCGTCTCAGTTGGCTGTGCCCTTGGACGCACTGATAGCATGGAGAGCCGCGGGGGCGCCTGGGCCGACTCGAGTCAGCAGACACCCATCCCCAGTGAGTCCACTCAGTCCTTCCTCCAGGACAGGAGCGGCCAGTGCCACCTCAGCCCATGGACAGCTGGGTGAGTAAGAAGAAAAATGTGGTAGTTCATTTTACATGCTCGCTCTGACCTTGATGTCCTAGCAAAAAAAAAAAAAACAAACAAACCCATCATCTACTAATCCCTCTTGTGAACATAGACTGAACTTTAAGTAAAATATTAGCAAATCAATTCTAGAAGTGTACATAAAAGCACCTCTGACAGAGGGGGGATTATGGTAGGAATGCAAAGACATTTATCATTAGGAAAAAAATATATGCAATTCAGCACATTTCAGTGATTTCGTGGGAGGAAAACGTATATCACTTCAATAGAGGCAGAGAGAAGGATTATGGCGTGGCGCACGTCCTGATGGCAAGACTCAGTGTTGGAAAGATGTCCACATTCATCCCCTATTCAAAGCATTTCTATTAAATGCTCTGCAAGGTTTTTTCCTGGAATGTACCAAGCTGATGAAAGCAAAGGGCTGAGAATG